GTGACTCAGCCGGATGTGGCAGCGCCGGATGCTGAGGGAGGTACAGGGGGTCCCCCTCGGAAATGACTCAGAGAGACACCGGGGGGTCCCCACCTTTATTGACACCCCAAAAAGCGCGGGGAGCCGCGGGGGCAACACCTCAGTGCGACCCCCAAAACGAGGTGAACCCCCTTTCTCAGGGTTTGGGGGACATTGCATAGTTAGAACGGTGCCCCCACGCCCCCCAAAAAAAATGGGGGCACCAAACGACCCCCGGGGTTGGGAGAGGGGTCCTCCAAAAGCACCAAAAACGGGGTGCGGGGGGCACCTCGGTCTGACGTCATCTTCCATTTTGGGGAGGGGGTGTCAGGAGGTGATCGGGGTCCCGGGGGGGTTAAGGGTGCAGTCCCCCACGAGGCAGAAACACGGCTCCCCCGCGGGAGCTGCCCACGCAGAGCCGCAGCACCCCGCGCCGGGGGTCAGGGGGCTCCTGGAAAGGGTGTCACCTTTGGGGAAAGGGTGTCACTTCTTTTGGGGGAGGGACGCCCTGAACCCCCACTCCTTCCCCGAGCCAGGCAGGGGCAGCACAGGGGGTCTGAGGGGGAAAATGGGGGATTTTGAAGGGAATGGGGGATTTGGGGGACCCCGAGGTGGGGCTGAAAGGGGGTGGTAGAGCCCCACCCCCACCCCGACCCGGGCAGGGGCAACACAGGAGGGTTTGGGGGGCACTGGGAGGTTTGGGGGGATTTGGGATGTACCGAAGTGGTTTGGGGGAAAGGGAGTTTTGGGGATCTGGGATGTATCAGAGGGGTTTAGGGAGGACAGGGGGATTTGGGGGATTTGGGATGTACCAAGGGGGTTTGGAGGGGGCACAGGGGTTTGGGGGATTTGGGATGTACCAAGGGGGTTTGGAGGGCACAGGGGGTTTGGGATGTACTGAGGGAGTTTGGGGGATTTGGGATGTACTAGAGGGGGTTTGGGGGGAACAAGGGGTTTTGGGGAGATTTGGGGAGGTACCAAGGGGGTTTGGGGGATTTGGGATGTACCGAGGGGTTTGGACAGGGGTTTAGGGATGTACAGAGGGGGTTTAGGGGGACAGGAGGTTTGGGGATTTGGAAGGTACCAAAGGGGGTCTGGGGGACTGGACTGTACCACTGTGCCTGAGGGGAGAGCACTGGGGTGTCTTGCTGCATTTTTGGGGGGGGGCAATGGATTGAACCCCCTGATTTTGGGGGGGGCACTGGAACGTTCCACTGACTTGGGGGGGGGAGCCCAGGGATGTCTCACTTAGGGGGGTCCCCACCGCGTCCCCGTGAATTTGGGTCAGGAGGGTCCCGGGGATTTTGGGGGTCTCACCGTGGGGGCGGCGCAGCAGGAGGCGCAGGCGGCTGCCCCCCCCCCGGATCCGGGCCAGGGCCTGCGCGGGGCTCATCCCGGCCGTGGGGGCCCCGTTGATGGCCAGGAGCTGATCGCTGACCTGGGACCCCCCAGGGACCCCCCAAAATTAGAGACACCCCCCTGAACCCCCATGGACCCCCCAAAATTAGAGACATCCCCATGAACCCCCATTGATGGCCAGGAGCTGATCGCTGACCTGGGACCCCCAGGGACCCCGAAATTAGAGACACCCTCCCTGAACCCCATGGACCCCAAAATTAGAGACATCCCCATGGACCCCCATGGATGGCCAGGAGCTGATCACTGACCTGTGACCCCCCAGGGACCCCCAAAATTAGAGACACCCCCATGGGTCCCCCAGAACCCCCATGGATGGCCAGGAGCTGATCACTGACCTGTGGACCCCCAAAATTAGACACCCCCTGGACCCCGTAGACCCCCCTGCCCCCAGGGACCCCCAAATTAGAGCGCTGATCCCCATGGATGATCAGGGCTGATCACTGACCTGCGATCCCCCAGGGACCCCCAAAATTAGAGACACTCCCCCTGAACCCCATGGACCCCCTAAAGTCTCAGAGACATCCCCCGATGGACACCCCCATGGATGGCCAGGAGCTGATCACTTGTGCCACCCCCAGGGACCCCCAAAGTTACAGACACCCCATTGAACCCCCCAAAATTAGAGACACCCCATGAGCCCCCATGCATGGCCAGGAGCTGATCACTGACCTGCAACCCCCCAGGGACCCCCCAAAATTAGAGACACCCCCATGGACCCCCAAATGTTACTGACCCCTAGATCCAGCTCCCATGACCCCCGTCCCTCCAGGACTCCCCAGTACCCCTGAACCCCCTTTCTCCCCCAAGACCCCCATAACCCCCCTCGGACCCTCACACCCCCAGAGGAACCCCCAGTGACCCCCAAATCCTCTTTCTCCCCTCCCCAAGCCCCTCCCAGCACTCCCCTAAATCCCCTGGACCCCCATAACCACCACCCCTGCCCCCCATTTCCACTCCCAGACCCTCAATACCCCCCAGACCCCATTACCCCCAGCACCCCCATAACGCCCCTGGACCCCCATAACCCCCAGCACCCCATAACCCCCAGCACCCCCATAACCCCCAAACCCCATTACCCCCAAACCCCATTACTCCCCAGCCCCCATTTGCACCCCCATAACTCCATTTCTACCTCCTGGACACTCATTACCCCACCCAGACCCCATAACTCACCCCAGACCCCCATTACCCCCCAAGCCCCATTACCCCAGCCACCCTACCCACCCGCCCCCATTTCACCTCCCAGACCCTCATTACCCCCGACTCCCATAACTCACCCTCAGACCCCATTACCCCCAGCACCCCCATTTCCACCCTCACCCCCATAACCCCACCCAGCACTCCCATAACCCTCCCCAAGCCCCTCCAAGACCCCCATAACCCCCAGCACCCCATAACCCCCAGCACCCCATTACCCCCTGGACCCCATAACCCCTCCTCAAGCCCTCAGGACCCCATTTCCAACCCCGGCACCCCTAACCCCCAGACCCCATAACCCCCCCAAACCCCCATTACCCTCCCCGGACCCCCATCACTCCCCCAGCCCCCATTTGCACCCCCATGCCCCCATTTCTACCTCCTGGACCCTCATTACCACCCCCAGACCCCATAACCCCCCCAGCCCCATACCCCCCAGGCCCCCATTACCCCCTCTGGACCCCCATAACCCCCAGACCCCCATAACCCCCCCAAGCCCCCATTACCCCCCAAACCCCCATTACCCTCCCAGCCCCCATTACCCCTCTGACTCCCATAACCCCCAGCCCCCATTTCCTCCAGACCCTCATTACCCCCAGACCCCCATAACCCCCAGCCCCAAAATCCCCCAGCACCCCCATAACCCCCCCAGCCCCCCATTTCACCCCCAGGCCCCCATAGCCCCCCCAGCACCCCCATAACTCCTTCCCAGCACCCCCATAACCACCCCGACCCCCATAACTCCCCCTAAACCCCCATTTCCACCCCCAGGACTTCCATAACCCCCCAGCACCCCAGACCCACCCCAGACCCCCATTACCCCTCCCCAAGTCCTCCAAGACCCCCATTGCCCCACCCTGGACCCCTCATTACCCCCAAGTCCCTCCCAAGACCCCCATAATCCCCTCCCCAGCACTCCCATAACCCCTCCTCAAACCCTCCAAGACCCCCATTTCCACCCCCAGCACCCCCATAACTCCTTCCCAGCCCCCATAACCCCCCCAGCACCCCCATAACCCCCTGGACCCCCATTACCCCCCCAGCACCTCCATAACCCCTTCCCAGCCCCCATAACCAACCCCTGGACCCCCATTTCCATCCCCACGACTTCCATAACCCCCAGCACCCCCAGACCCACCCCAGACCCCCATAACCCCTCCCCAAATCCCTCCAAGACCCCCATAACCCTCCCCAGCACTCCCATAACCCCTCCTCAAACCCCTCCAAGACCCCCATTTCCACCCCCAGCACCCCACATCCCCCCCAGCCCCCCAACCACCCCCCTGGACCCCCATAACCCCTCCCAGCACCCCATAACTCCTTCCCAGCACCCCCATAACCCCCCTGACCCTGTAACTCCCCCAGACCCCCATTTCCACCCCAGGATTCCATAACCCCCAGCAGCCCCAGACCCACCCCAGACCCCATTACCCTCCCCAAGTCCCTCCAAGACCCCCATTACCCCACCCTGGACCCCATTACCCCCCCTCCCAGCACCCCATAACCCCACCCTGTAACCCCCATTACCCCCAAGTCCCTCCAAGACCCCATAATCCCTCCCCAGCACCCCATAACCCTCCTCAAGCCCCTCCAAGACCCCATTTCACCCCAGCACCCCAGCAACCCCCCCAGCCCCCATAACTCCCTCCCAGCACCCCATAACCCCCTGGACCCCTAAAACCTCCCCAGCACCCCATAGCCCCCGCGACCCCCATAACTCAGCACCCCCATTACCCCACTCCAGACCCCATAACTCCCCCAACCCCATCCCCCATCCCCGTACCTGGATGCAGCCGCAGCGCTGGGCGAGCCCCCTCAGCGCCAGCTCCGCACGAAAACCCCCGAGGGGCCCCCCCGGAGGCTGAACCCGAAACCCCCCGGGCCCCGCGGCAGCTCCACTGAGAACTGAACCAGTAACACCAGTTACACACCAGTATAAACCAGTAACCCCCCGGGCCCCGCGGCAGCTCCACCGAGAACTGAACCAGTAACACCAGTTACACACCAGTATAAACCAGTTACACACCAGTATAAACCAGTAACCCCCCGGGCCCCGCGGCAGCTCCACCGAGAACTGAACCAGTATACACCAGTTACACACCAGTAAAACCAGTTACACACCAGTATAAACCAGTAACGCCCCGGGCCCCGCGGCAGCTCCACTGAGAACTGAACCAGTAACACCAGTTACACACCAGTATAGACCAGTAACCCCCCGGGCCCCGCGGCAGCTCCACCGAGAACTGAACCAGTATAAACCAGTTACACACCAGTATAAACCAGTAACCCCCCCGGGCCCCGCGGCAGCTCCACCGAGAACTGAACCAGTATAAACCAGTTACACACCAGTACAGACCAGTACAAACCAGTTACACACCAGTTACACACCAGTACAGACCAGTACAAAGCAGTTAGTTACACACCAGTACAAACCAGTTACACACCAGTTACACACCAGTACAAACCAGTTACACACCAATACAAACCAGTAACCAGTACAAACCAGTTAGTTACACACCAGTACAAACCAGTTACACACCAGTTACACACCAGTACAAACCAGTTACACACCAATACTAACCAGTAACCAGTACAAACCAGTTACACACCAGTTACACACCAATACAAACCAGTAACCAGTACAAACCAGTTAGTTACACACCAGTACAAACCAGTTACACACCAGTTAGTTACACACCAGTATAAACCAGTTACACATCAGTACAAACCAGTTACACACCAGTGCTGTACCAGGACACACCGATTGCACAGGAGTAACACACCAGTAGAAGCCAGTTACACACCAGTACAAACCCACTACACACCAGTAATGTACCAGGACACACCAGTTGCACACCAGTAACACACCAGTACAAACTAGTTACACACCAGTACAAACCACTAACACACCAATGCCCCACCCCAGGTCCTCAGGGTACCTCCACCCCAGCCCTCCCCAGTCCCTCCCAGTGCCCTCCCAGTGCTCCCAGTTACCCTCCCAGTCCCTCCCAGAGCTCCCAGTTACCCTCCCAGTCCCTCCCAGAGCTCCCAATCCCCCCCCAGCCCTCCCAGTGCTCCTCCCAGTGCTCCCAGTCCGTACCTGTGCCCCGCCCAGGCCGTACCCCGGCTCCAGGTCCATCCCTGGGGGAGAGGGAGGGGTGGGCCCAGTGCTCCCAGTGCCTCCCAGTACACCCCAGTAGCCACCCAGTGCTCCCCAGTCCCCTCCCACTGGCACCAGGCCCTGTCCCAGTGCTCCCAGTTCCCTTAGCACTGCTCCCAGTGCTCCCAGTCCCCTCCCAGTGCCCTCCCAGTATCACCCCAGTCTCCCCAGTCCTGCTCCCAGTGGCCCCAGTGCCCCTACCCTCCTCCCAGCGTCCTCCCAGTTTCTCCCAGTAACACCCAGTACACCCCAGTAGCCAACCAGTTCCCCAGTCCCCTCCTACTGTCACCAGTCCCCATCCCAGTCCCTCCCAGTATCGCTCCCAGTGCCCCCAGTGCGCTCCCAGCCCCTCTCCCAGTGCCCCCAGTGCCTCCCAGTGCCCTCCCAGCCCCTCCCAGTGCCCCCAGTGCCTCCCAGTGCCCTCCCAGGCCCCCTCCCAGTGCCCCCAGTGCCTCACAGTGCCCTCCCAGGCCCCCTCCCAGTGCCCCCAGTGCTCCCAGTGCCTCTCAGCCCCTCTCCCAGTGCTCCCAGTGCTCCCAGTGCCCTCCCAGCCCCTCTCCCAGTGCTCCCAGTACCGGTTGGCAGCAGGTCCCGGGGTTCAGGGCCCACGAAACTGGTGGCGGCCACGGGCTCGGGGGGGGCTCCGGGGCCTGGGGGGACACACCCAGTGCTCCCAGTGCTCCCAGTGCCCCCAGTGACCCCCCCAGTGCTCCCAGTGACCCCCCAGTGTCCCTCCCAGTGCTCCCAGTGACCTCCCAGTGCTCCCAGTGACCCCCAGTGCTCCCAGTGACCCCCAGTGACCTCCTCCCAGTGCTCCCAGTGACCTCCCAGTGCTCCCAGTGACCTCCCAGTGCTCCCAGTGACTCCCAGTGACCTCCCAGTGCTCCCAGTGACCCCCAGTGCCCTCCCAGTGCTCCCAGTGACCTCCCAGTGACCCCCAGTGACCCCCAGCCCAGTGACTCCCAGTGACCCCCAGTGACTCCCCAGTGACTCCCAGTGACCTCCCAGTGACCCTCCCAGTGACCTCCCAGTGACCCCCAGTGACCCCCAGTGCCCCCAGTGACCCCCAGTGACCCTCCCAGTGCTCCCAGTGACCCCCAGTGACCTCCCAGTGACCCCCCAGTGCTCCCAGTGACCCCCAGTGCTCCCCAGTGGCCCCCAGTGACCTCCCCAGTGACCCCCAGTGCTCCCAGTGACCCCGCAACTCCCTTCCCAGTAATCTCCCAGTGCCTCCCAGTTACCATCCCAGAGCATCCCAGTCCCTCTTTCAGTCTCTCCCATTGCCCCCAGTCCCACCCCACTTCCTCCCAGTGCCCCCAATCCTCCCCCAGTCCCGCTCCCAGTCCCCCCAGTTCCTCCCAGTGCCCCAGTCCTCCCAGTCCCTCCCAGTGCTCCCAGTGCTCCCAGTTGGACGCACCGAGGCTCCTGAGCAGCAGCACGAGGTCCCCGTCGTGGGGCCGGATCGGGGTGGGGGTGGGGCCTGACCCCAGGGCGGGGGCTCTGGGGCGGCAGGGGAGGGGGCGGCTGTACCGAGCACGCAGGACCCCCCACGACCACCACCACTCACTGGGGAGACACAGAGTCAGGACCCCAAACACAGGACCCCCAAAACCAAGAGACCCCCCACGACCACCACCACTCACTGGGGAGAGTGAGTTAGAGACCCCCAAAACCAGAGACCCCCTACGACCACCACCACACTCACTGGGGACAACGGTTAGAGACCCCCCAAAAACAGGGACCCCCAAAAACAGGGACCCCCCACGACCACCACCACACTCACTGGGGAGAGTGAGTTAGAGACCCCCCAAAAACAGGGAACCCCCACGACCACCACCACACTCACTGGGGGACACAACGGGTTAGAGACCCCCAAAACCAGAGACCCCCTCGACCACCACCACACTCACTGGGACACGAGTCAGGGACCCCCAAAACCAGAGACCCCCCACGACCCCCTACACTCACTGGGGGGACAACGGTTAGAGACCCCCCCAAAACCAGGAGACCCCCCACGACCACCACCACACTCACTGGGAGGGACACAGAGTCAGGACCCCCCAAACACAGGGACCCCCCAAAACCAGAGACCCCCCACGACCACCACCACACTCACTGGGGAGAGTGAGTTAGAGACCCCCCAAAACCAGGGACTCCCCTACGACCACCACCACACTCACTGGGGACACACGAGTCAGGGACCCCCCAAAACCAGGGACCCCCCGACCACCCCCACACTCACTGGGGGACACAGTCAGGGACCCCCAAAAACAGGGACCCCTCCCCAAAAACAGGGACCCTGGGGACCCCGATCACAGCCTCTCCCCAGGTAAGAGACTCCCCGCCCCTCGGCAATTGGGGACCTCCAGGGGTTGGAGACCCTCCTCAAGTGAGAGCCCCCCCAAAGGTGACTGACCCTCCCCGGGAATTGGGGAACCCCCTGGGAATTGGGGACCCCCAAATTCTGCCCTCCCCCCTCACCGCTGGGCCCCAGCGGTGCCTCCGGGGCGGCATCGGGGTGGGGCCCCCCGAGCTGTGGGGGCAGCGCCTGGGGGCACCAGTGACACCAGTGACCTCCCAGTAACGGCCCAGTCACCTCCCAGTAACGGCCCAGTCACCTCCCAGTAACGGCCCAGTGCTCCCAGTCACCTCCCAGTAACGGCCCAGTGCCCCCCCAGTGCTCCCAGTAACTGCCCCGTGCCCCGCCCAGTAACCTCCCCATTTCCCCCCAGTGCTCCCAGCAACCTCCCAGTGCCGCCCCAGTGCTCCCAGTTTTCTCCCAGTGCCACCAGTTTCCTCCTCAGTGCTCCCAGTATCCTCTCCCAGTGCCACCAGTATCCTGCCACTGCTCCCAGTATCCTCTCCCAGTGCCCCTCAGTGATCCCGGTGTCCTCCCGAGCTCCCCCAGTGTTCCCAGTGTCCCCCCAGTGCTCCCAGTATCCCCTCATTTCCCCCCCACCGTTCCCAGCATCCTCCCAGTTCCCCCCTACACCATCCCAGTTCCCCCCTCCATCACCCCAGATCCCCCCCAGTGTTCCCAGTACCCCCCCAGTGCTCCCAGTACCCCCAAGTGCTCCCAGTTCCCCCCCACAACATCCCAGTTCCCCCCTCCATCACCCCAATTCCCCCCCAGTGCTCCCAGTATCCCCACCAGTCCTTCCAGCATCCCCCCAGTCCCTTCCCAGTGCTCCCAGCTCCCCCCATCACCCCAGTTCCCCCAGTTCCTTCCCAATATCCCCACCAGTCCTTCCAGTCCCCCTCCAGTTCCTTCCCAGTGCTCCCAGTTCCCCCTACACCACCCCAGTTCCCTCCCCATCACCCCAGTTCCCCTCGGTGCTCCCAGTTCCCTTACACCATCCCAGTTCCCTCAAACACCACCCCAGTTCCCCCTCCATCACCCCAGTTCCACCCTCATCACCCCAGTCCTCCCCCAGTGCTCCCAGTTCCCCCCCCAGTCCCCCCCAGTTCCCGCCCCTCCCCCCGGTACCGCCGCGGGGTCTCCACGGCAACGGGCGCGAGGCCGGCGGGCGCGAGCGGCGGCGGCGCGGGGAGGGGGTGACGGACGGGCGGCTCCGCCAATCAGCGCTCGCACCGCGCGGGACAACACTGATTGGCAAGTATAGAAACCAATCAGAGGCCGAACTTCCCTGGGAGGGCGGGACAAACCAACTCCACCAATCAGCGGTGGAGGCGGGACTGTCGCGCCGCAAAGGCTGCCGGGAGTTGTAGTACCGCCATATTCACTCCCACAGCGCCCCGCGGCACAAGATGGCGGCGGGCGGCGGAGCGGGAGCGGCGGCGGCGGCGGCCGAGGGGGGACCCGGCGGGGCCGGGGCGCTCCGGAGGGCTGCTGGGTGCCGCGGGGCCCGTGTCGTTCGCGTTCAGCCGCAGGGCCGAGCGGAGGCGGCCGCTGCCCGCGGGGCCGTGCGCGGAGCCCGGCGCGGGGCCCGACAGCGACACCGACACGGAGCTCCTGACGGCGGTGGAGGACCGAGAGCTGCTCGGGTGGGCGGGGACGCGGAGAGGAGGGGGCGTGGCTTTGGGTGGGGGCGTGGCTTTGTGGGGGCGTGGGTTTGGGTGGGGGCGTGGCTTGCTGCGATACAAGCCTTAGCTGGCCGGGGGCGTGGCTCGTTAGGGGGCGTGGTCTGGAGTAGGAATCGCCATATAAGGACCGTCTGGGGGCGTGGCCTGAGGCGGGGTCAGAGCTCCCGTTTAAAGTTCCCGCCGGGGCGTGGCTTTAGCTGGGGGCGTGGCTTTAGCTGGGGGCGTGGCTGAGCGGCCATTCCGGGTTTAAAGGCTCGGGTTAGGGCGTGGCTTGGGAAAGGGGCGTGGCTTCAACCAAGGGGCGTGGTTTGATGAGGGGTCTCTCGTTTGGGGGCGTGGTTTCAGCAGGGGGCGTGGCCAAACCTGGGGTCTCATTACAGGGGTATTGAGGGTGGGACTCGAGTGTAGGGTGTGGCCCGAGTTATTTGCATAGGGGGCGTGGCTTGTGAATGCCCTCCCTTATATGGTTATTTGAGGGTGTGGCCTAATATGCTGATGATTGGGCGTGGCTCAGGTGGGGGCGTCACATCATGTTAATAATTTTGGATGTGGGTTTGGGGTGGGGGGTGCCTCTATGCAGGGGCGTGGCATAGCACGATGTGGGCGTGGCTAACGCCCTGACCCCGCCCCCAGCACGCGGCCGGCCCCTCCCCCAAGGAGCTCGTAGATCCCCTGATCCCCCAACCGATGGAGGAACCCGAGCCCCCGCGCCCAAGCAGGCCCCGCCCCAGCGCCGACGGACACGCCCCTCCTCCAACCACGCCCCCAAGGCAGACCCCGCCCCAGCACAGACCCCGCTCCTCGGGGACCCCTGACCCCCTCGGTGGAGGCTCAGGCGGTGCAGGAGCTGCTCCAGGGTGAGTTGGGGATTTTGGGGTGGGGTGAATCTTGGGGTCCCCGAGAGCACAGGGGGTCCTGGGGGCCCCAAAGCCCCCTGACCTCCCCCACCCCACAGAGGCGCGGCAGAGTCGGGAACAGCCCCAGGAGGGGTCGGGACCCCCCATCGCCATCCCCCTCCAGCTGCCGGACAGGGACGTGGCCACCGGACCACAGCCGGTGAGGGACCCCCAAAACACCCCCTGGGACCCCCAAAACACCCCTGGGACCCCCAGGAACCTCCAAAACACCCCTGGGACCCCCAAAACACCCCCTGGGACCCCAAAACACCCCTAGGACCCCCAAACACCCCCTGGGACCCCCAAAACAGCCCTAGGGACCCCTAGGAACCCCCAAAACACCCCCTGGGACACCCAAACACCCCCTGGGACCCCCAAACACCCCTCTGGGACCCCCAAACACCCCCAGGGACCCCAAAACACCCTCTGGGACCCCCAAACACCCCCTGGGACCCCCAAAACACCCCCTGGGACCCCCAAAACACCCCCTGAGACCCCCAAACACCCTCTGGGACCCCAAAACACCCCCTGGGACCCCAAAACACCCCTGGGACCCCAAAACACCCCCAGGACCCCAAACATCCCCCTGGGACCCCCAAAACACCCCTGGGACCCCCAAAACACCCCCTGGGACCCCCCAAAACACCCCCTGCGACCCCCAGACACCTCCAGGACCCTTGGAGAGAACCCCCAGGACCCCAAACACCCACCCCCTGGGATCCCTTGAGACCCCTGGGACCCCAAACACCCCAGGACCCTCAGAGGGACCCCCAGGACCCCATACAACCCTCCTGGGACCCTAAACACCCCGTGGGACCCTCCAGAGTGACCCCTGGGACCCCTTGAGACCCCCTGGGACCCCCAAACACCCCCAGGACCCTCAGAGGGAACCCCCAGGACCCCAAACAACCCTCCTGGGACCCCTAAACACCCCGTGGGACCCTCAGAGTGACCCCCTGGGACCCCCAAACACCCTCTCAGGATCCCCAAACACCACCCAGGACCCCCAGAGTGACCCCCTGGGACCCCCAAAGTGTCCCCCCAGCCCCACAACTGCCCTCTACGACCCCCAAACTGCTCCCCACACCCCTTAACCCCCCTGTGCCCCCAGACCCCCAGGACTACGAGGCGGTGCCCGTGGGGCAGTTCGGGCTGGCCATGCTGCGGGGGATGGGCTGGAGCCACGGCCAGGGCATCGGCTCGCACCTTCCCAGGTGAGGGGGCACCCCAAAATGGGGGGACATCCTGAACCCCTGAGCCCCTGAAACCAGGGAACCCCCTGAGCTCCCAAACCAGGGGACACCCTGAACCCCCTGAGCCCCCCAAACCTGCAGGGGATGGGCTGGAGCCACGGGCAGGGCATTGGGGCACCTGCCCCAGGTGAGGGGGCACCCCTGAACCCCCCCATGAACCCCCCCAAACCAGGGGGACACCCCTGAACCCCCTCTGGACACCCCAAACCTGCGGGGGATGGGCTGGAACCACGGGCAGGGCATTGGGGCACCTGCCCCAGGTGAGGGGGGGGCACCCCAAAAAGGGGGGGGGACACATCCCTGAACCCCCCCTGAGCCCCCCAAAACAGGGGAACACACCCCTGAGCCCCCCAAACCAGGGGGACACCCCTGAACCCCCCCTGAGCACCCAAAACCTGCGGGGGATGGGCTGGAGCCAAGGGTGGGGCATCGGCCGCACCTTCCCCAGGTGAGGGGGCACTCCAAAATGGGGGGGGGGACATCCCTGAACCCCCCCTGAGCCCCCCCAAACTGGGGGGACACCCCTGAACCCCCCCTGAGCCCCCCAAACCAGGGGGACACCCCTGAACCCTCCCTGAGCCCCCCAAAGGTGGGGGATGGGCTGAAGCCAAGGGTGGGGCATTGGGGCACCTGCCCCAGGTGAGGGGGGGGCACCCCAAAATGGGGGGTTACACACCCCAAAATGGGGGGGACACACCCCTGAACCCCCCTGAGCCCCCCAAAACCAGGGACACACCCCTGAGCCCCCCAAATGGGAGGGGAAGCCAAGGGCAGGGCATTGGGGCGCCTGCCCCAGGTGAGGGGGGGGAAAGACCCCCCAAAAACAGGAGGGGGGCCCCTCCTTGACTCCCCCCAAACCAGGAGAACCTGTGGGGGAAACTCTGACCCCCCCTGAACCCCCCAAAACTGGGGGGGACAGACCCCCCAAAAAGGGAGGCTTTGACACACCCCTGACCCCCCCCATTAATTTTGGGGTCCCCTGACCCCCCTTTGTCCCCCCCCAGGGTCGTGACCCCCCTGGAGCATCGGCCCCGCCCCCGGGGGTTGGGTCTGGGGGCCGAGGGGGCCCCCCCAGGGACCCCCAAACCGGGAGGAGCCCCCCCGGGGGGGCCCGGCCGTGGGAGACCCCGTGAGCATCGAGGCCGGACCACACCGGGGCGTGGAGGGCAAGGTGAGACCAGTATAAACCAGTATAAACCAGTACAGACCAGTATAAACCAGTACAGACCAGTATAAACCAGTATAAACCAGTATGGACCAGTATAAACCAGTATAGACCAGTATGCACCAGTATAAACCAGTACGCACCAGTATAAACCAGTATGGGCCAGTATAGATCAATATGGACCAGTATAAACCAGTACAAACCAGTACAGACCAGTATAAACCAGTACAGACCAGTATAAACCAGTATAGACCAGTATGGACCAGTATAAACCAGTACAGACCAGTATTAACCAATATAAACCAGTACGCACCAGTATAAACCATTATAAACCAGTACAGGCCAGTATTAACCAGTACAGACCAGTATAGACCAGTATAAACCAGTATAGATCAGTATAAACCAGTACAGACCAGTGTATACCAGTATGGACCAGTATAAACTAGTATAAAGCAGCACAGACCAGTATAAACCAGTATACACCACTATGAACCAGTATAGACTAGCACAGACCAGTATAGACCAGTGTGGGCAGTGGGGGTGCTGGGAGGGGTGAACTGGGACGGAACTGGGAGGACTGGGGGAAGGGATTGAGGCTGTTGGGGGGAATCCCAGTATGCCCAGTATGGGAATGGGGGGGACAGGGGAGTGCTGGGGTAATGGGGGAGACTGGGGACACTGGGTGGGAACTGGGGGATTGGGGGTGCTGACCCTGCTCCCAGTATGCCCAGTATGGCACTGGGAGGCACTGGGGGGTTACTGGAGTGATGGGGGTAAACTGGGAGGTTACTGGGAGGTCACTGGGGGTAACTGGGAGGCACTGGGAGCTTAGTGGGCGTAACTGGGAAGTCAGTGGGAGGTCACTGAGGGTAACTGGGAGGCACTGGGAGGTTACAGGGGGTAACTGGGATCTGTTACGGAATTACTGGGAGGTTATTGGGGGTAACTGGGAGGCACTGGGGGGTTACTGGGGATAACTGGGAGGCACTGGGGTTACTGGGAGTAACTGTGGGTAACTGGGAAGCAGTGCAGAGTTACTGGGAGATTACTGGGAGGTTCCTGGGGGGTCACTGGGAGGGCACTGGGGGGTAACTGGTGTCACTGGTGCCCCAGGTGGAGGGCCTGGACCCCGAGACCGGGCGGGCACTGGTGCGGCTCAAACTGGGGGGGCAGGTGGTGGCCGTGAACCAGCACGGCCTGCGCCCAGTCAGCACTGGTGAGTGCCCAGTATGGACCAGTGACCCTCCTCATTACACCCTGTAACCCCCCCAGTAACCCCCAATTCACACCAGTAACCCCCAGTACCCCCTGGGTTACACAGCATGGCCTGTGCCCAGTCAGCACTGGTGAGTGCCCAGTATGGACCAGTATGGACCAGTGACCCTCCTCATTACACCCTGTAACCCCCCCAGCACATCCCAGTTCTCCCCAGTACCCCCTGGGTTACACAGCACGGCCTGTGCCCAGTCAGCACTGGTGAGTGCCCAGTATGGACCAGTGACCCTCCCAGTCCCCCCAGTCTCTTCCAGTTCCCTCCCAGTCTCCCCCATTATTCCCAACTCCCCCCCAATCCCTCCCAGTGCCCCCTCAGTCCCTCCCAGTTGCTCTCAGTCACCCCCAGTCTCTCCCAGTCCCCCAGTCCCCTCTCAGTCCTCTCCCAGTTCCCCCCAGTCCCCCCCAGTTCCTCCCAGTACCTCCCAGTTCCCCCCAGGTGCCCAGAAGGGCCCCGAGGGGGGCACAGGTCGGGGACCCCCAACGGGGAGAAGAGGAAGGAGCCCCCAAACCCCAGAGGTGAGGGGGGATCTGGGAGTCCACGAGTTTTTGGGGGACTGGGGTCTTTGGGGGTTGTGACCCTGGGGGCTTTAAGGGGTCCCCAAGTTTTTGGGGGTCTCTGGGAGGTTGTGACCTCTGGGGGTCCCTGGGGTCCCCGAGTTTTGGGGGGACTGGGGGTCTTTGGGAGGTTGTGACCTCTGGGGTCCCTGAGAGGGTTCCGAGGGCTTTGGGGGACTGGGGGTCTTTGGGGGGTCCCTGAGTTTTTGGGGGGACTGGGAGGGTCTTTGGGGGTTGTGACCCTGGGGGTCTTTGGGGGTCCCTGGGCTTGGGGGAGCCCTTTGGGGAGTCTCCGAGTTTTGAGGGGGCCTGGGGGAGTCTTTAAGGGGTCCCCAAGTTTTTGGGGAGTGGGGGTCTTTGGGGGTTGTGACCCCTGGGGGTCTTTGGGGGTCCCTGGGCTTGGGGGAGCCCTTTTGGGGGTCTCCGAGTTTTGAGGGGGCCTGGGAGGGTCTTTAAGAGGGTCCCTGAGTTTTTGGGGGACTGGGGGTCTTTACGGGGTTTGTGACCCCTGGGGGTCTTTGGAGGTGGGGGGGTCCCAGGGCTTGGGGTTTTTGGGGGTCCTGAGTTTTGGGGGTAGGGGTAGGAGAGGGACAGGGGTTTTTGGGGGTGGGGGCCTTGGGGGTCCATGAGCTTTTAGGGGTGTCCCTGAGGTTTTTGGGGTGTCCCTGCACCCCCCTTGACCCCCCCTGTGCCCCCCCCAGGCCGGTGAAGCATTTTCGGGGGGACCCCCCCGGGACCCCCCATTGGCTGCGGAGGGACCTGCGGGTGCGCTGCGTGGACAGGACCTTCCACAGGGGGCGCTACTACAACTGCAAGGTGGGGGGGACCCCAAAACACCTCAAAAACACCTCAAAATCACACCCAGGACCCCCCAAAACCCCCCAGAGAACCCCAAAATCCCCCCCTCATGCACAGGACCTTCCACAGGGGGCGCTACTACAACTGCAAGGTGGGGGGACCCCAAAAACACCCCAAAACCACCCCAAAACCACCTCAAAAACACAACCAGGACCCCCAAAAACCCCCCAAAG